GTTTAGAAATGTATACAACTACAAATCTGAGCTGTGTCTCAAAGCGTCCTCGCGACGTGTTCCTATTTGTCACACTGCAGACTGTTTGTATTTCATCTCTGGGAAGCCTGACACAACTTGACCTGTTAAATCTGAGCATCACTGAGACGTTCTTACAGTGAGGAGATGCTTGACTCGGCGATGTTGCACACCTCCTCTCTTTGTTCTGTCCTTTGGTGCGTGTGTTTCTCTGTGTTCATGCATGCTCTGATCTGAAGAAGAGGGATGGCTTTCAGAAGGGATTTGGCCTCAGGCTCCATATGTCTAGTGAAGATGAAGACTACACGTCTTTGATATGCCTCATCTCCTCCACAAGACACTCTGCTACCGGTCGCTCTTTCTCTTTCTCACCCTTGTGATAATAAGCACTGCAAGCTTTAGATTTTTCTAAATCATATCCTCGATGTGTCCTTCGTGCTGGTTCTTTATGGTCTCTCTTTGCCTTAAACATTCATAGGAAAAAACTTTTCACTGCTAGGCTCGTACAGTATAAACACAAGGACAGTTAATAACTAGAGAACTTACTTTTCCTGCAAAAATGCAGCGTGAAGGCTTATTGCAGAATAACTTGCTGAAAAACAGCTGAAATTAGCTAAACAAAAACATGCTGAAGTGTAGCTGAAATGGATGAACATGCCTAAAGTAGCAGAATAAAGCAGAAATGAGCACAACAATTACAAAATTAGCAAAAAAAAAGCTGAAATTAGCAACAAAAAAGTTGAAAAGGCAGAAAGAAGTTTTAACTACTAGAAGGAAGCAGAAAAAGCTGAAATGAGCTAGAGAAATGCGAAATTATCTGAAAAAATTAAAATTAGCATACAAAGAGCTAAATAGTAGCTGAAAGTACAGAAAAAGCGGAAACTAGTAGAAAAAGCTGAAAGTAGCAGAACATACCACAAAAACTTTAATTTAACTGAAAACAGCTAAAATTAGATACAAAAAATACTAAAAATGTAGCTGAAAAGGTAGAACAAGTTAAAATTGGAAGAATGGAAGAATTTAGAAGTGGACATAGGATCACAATAGGGTAACTTTCCTAATAACACATTCTGCAATACGTAAGGCTTTCACTTGACAAATACATTTTTAACCTTATATTGATGCAAGAAAACAACAAATGGTGTTAATTTAGGCTTTTGTACAGAAATCAAACTAAAATTGGTTAAAATAAATTCATTCACAACGTACTCTGGGTGTAACATCTCACTGTAAAGCATGGGATGTGTGCATTATTCTCTATTCAATTCAATTCAAAAATACTTTATTAATCCCAAAGGGAAATTAATTGTTGTTGTAGCTCATCTTGGTTTCATTAGAGTTGTTCTAGATGCTGATGGCTTTGGGCAGGAAGGATTTCTTGTAGCGGTCCATCCCACAACAGATCTGAAGAAACTGGCTGCAGATGCTGAACTCAAGGTTTGGCCAAAACCTCTAGAACTGCCATTTCTCCACAATAAGATGATTGTAGTCAGAGGTTGTGACATGAAGTGTGGTGGGTGATATGCATTTGTTAAAGTAGATCTAGGAATCTATCCTGTTTCTATAATGTGTTTAAACAAGCTGATGAGATGGGATCAAATGGCTGCAGAAACAAATCGATTTGTGCAAGTCAGAAGGTAAAATAAAGTTTTGTGTGTAAATAACAGAACCGGTCACTAATTGGAGTCGAGTCTTACTGGTCTGTCAGAGTGCGGATGAATAATTTACAAGCAGCTTTGTCTTCTCCCCTCCATGTGTTCACCTGTCTCGCTCTCACTCCTTCCTCTGCTCTAAAAATAAAGGGAAACCCCTACGGAGGGTCCTGCTGTTATTGGGCAGGTGAGCAATGTGGGAAAACACAGAAAGCCTTTAATGATTGTTTCTGTTTCGGTCTAGTCAAGAAATACTTCCAGTCCAGATTTTTGGAACTTCTTTAGGATCTTGCACCAAATGATGCAGAAACCTTTTGTCATTTGTAAACGCATATGTTGACATATGAACTGCTAGCGACGTGTGTGTTTATAAAGTCTGTTGTGTGTTGTTTCTTTAGTTATGGTGGAAATAGACTCAAGGCCTTCCTCGTTTATCTCGGCTCATCCAATCATAAACAGCACGTCACACTGCCAAAGGTTTACTAGCTGCCCAGAATCCGAGTCCTTTGCTTTTCAATCACAGGAAACTATGAATCGCCTTCCTCGCTTCCTCATGACATCACTGTTATCGCCATAGGAACTGGGACGGGAAGTGGGATTGGAAGTTTTAGGAGAGCAGGTCATGTGGATCAGAGAAAGGGGTGGCTCCTTTCTTAACCTCCCACCTTTAATCAGTTGCATGTATAAAAAATAAGACCTCCACATGATACACAGACAGTTTGTCACCTTGGATTTTCCTCTGCAGTGTTTGGAGCTTTTGAAGAAACAGGATTTTCAGCCTCTGCTGTTTTCTTGTTTTTGCGTTTGCTTTGTGACGAAGCTCTTGGTTCAGAGGAAACGGACAGACAGTAAGTTATTTCCTTCAGAGGACAAACCCACTGATGTGGTGCAGCGTTGTGTTCAGTTCATTTTCTTGGCAGAATATTTATCGGAGGACCTGGTCGTCCACCTCATAATTTGTCTTCATTAAGGCTGGTCGTGTTGTTCAGGGCAGGCTTTTTAAAATCTGTGTTGTCGGGAAGCCAACCATGAAGGATGCAACATATTCAGCACATGTGCGTTGCTGGGCATGCTAAAGGGTTATCTTGGCTCGGTGTCTGCAGTATGATGTGAATGTGTGGTAAAGTGCACGTCTCTTGAGTCCATGATGGGTGTAATAATTACTGCAAGAAATACTAGGTGGTATATTTAGTGCCAACAATTTTTTTGCTTGACTTTAGAAACCCACAATTTACAAGTAAAAAATAAATAACTTCATTAACAGAAGTAACTATAGATGTGTACTGGCACACATTTACAAAATTGAATGTTTCTTTGTTGTAAATCAAAAATAACTAAATAAATTGAATTTCCAGCAAAAATGCAGTGTGAATTCTTATTGCTGAAGAACTTGCTGAAAAACTGCTGAAATTAGCTTAAAAATATTCTGAAATGTAGCTGAAATGGAAGAACAAGCCTACGTTAGCAGAAGAAAGCTGAAAGAACACATATTTGCTGAATTAGGTTTAAATCAGCAGAAATAAGAACAAAAATTGAGAAATTTGCTAAAAATAAAGGCTGAAAATAGCTAAAAAAAAATAAAGGCTGAAAAGTAGCTGAAAAGGCAAAAAGAAGCTTAAACTAGCAGAAGGAAGTAGAAATAACTGAAATGAGCTAAAAATGTGGAATTAGCTGAAAAAGCTAAAATTACCAGCTAAATAGTAGCTGAAAAAGAAAATGCTGAAACTAGCAGGAAAAAAAACCCTGAAAGGAGTGTAACACGCTGAGATAAGCATAAATAAGTTAATTAAGCTAAAAATAACAGAAATTAACATGAAAATTTTAAATTTATCTGAAACCAGCTGAAATATTCTAAAACATGCTTTAAAAAAGGCTAGCTAAAATGTTAGAACAAACTTAAATTAGCAGAAGAAAGCAGAAAGGATATATTTGCCCAACTATGCTGAAAGAAGCAGAAATCACCACAAAAAGTGGAAATTATCTGAAAAATGCTGAAATGAGCAAAAAACAGCTGAAAACTAGCTAAAAAAGCAGAGGAGCTTAAATTATCAGAAGGAAGTTGAGAGTGCACTTTTTTGCTGATAAAAGTTGAAACAAGTGCAACAATTTTGGAATTAGCTGAAAAAGCTAAAATAAAACCGCTAACTTGCTGAAATATCATAAAAAGCTGAAGCTTGCAGAAATAGGCTGAAAGGCGCATAATAAGCTGAAATTAGCAGAAATAAATTTGAAGAAGCACAAAAATGTTGTAGTTAGCAGAAAGAACCTAAAAGGAGCAACAACAAAAAAATGAAAAGAAAAGAAAAAAACAGCTGAAATTACCTGAAAGTAGCTGAAAAAATGTTTAAGTTTGCACGAGGACGCTGAAAGAAGCTGAACCAGAACAAAATGTGAAAGGAGCATTAATAGGGTCTAAACAAATCTAAAGATTTGAAGGATGGAAAATGAGCTCAATTCATTTCCTTTGACGAAAAAAAAGTGTCAGGAAAGGCTAAATATTTCAAAAAGCTAAAGTTGCACCAATAACAAAATCATAGCACCCTTCTCCTGAAAGAGCTGAACATTTTGATATGATTTATTGAAATAGCACAAAAAATATGGAACAAGAAAGATGCTGAAAAATGTACGGAAGAAAAATAATCACAATAGAGTGAATGCTTCACAAACATTCACACAATTACAGTCTCCATTGCTCACAGTGTAAACTATAAATCAAAGGTAATTAAAGAAGACATGCCTGTTTAAGAGTTGAGCAGTAGCTGGAAATGATGAGGAGGTAGAATAATCGTAATCTGGGTTGGGTTTGTCACATCACTTCCATCCTATCTGAGTGACTCAGTGAAAATGATTCTTAAAGCGTTTACTGATTACATATTGATTTATGTTTTTGTACATAGTGTTTTAAATCCATTCTACTCACCTTCTGAAGCTTCACAACACAGCTGTTTGTCACACTGGGGATTTCATGTTTTGTATTTTTCCATGTTATTGTCAGAGTAACTGTCCCCAATCGTTGCTGATCTAAGGTGATTTTCTTGCAGCTTCCTCCTTGTGCTGGTTTCATTGTGTTGCATCATACCTGTAATATTCTCATTAGCAGAGCTGGTGGCTGTAAAACGAGTGAAGCTGGTACATTTTAGGCTTCCATAGCTTGAGTAATGAATTTAAAATATTTTCTTTGTTTAACCCATTTTTTTGTGTGTTTTTAAATTTATATTATTTATACAAGTGTCTTTATGCACAGCCAATCCACCATTTTTTAAAGTCTATTTCTGTTGGTTGTTAAAGTAATAGGGTATTAACATGCATGTGTTGTTCCCATGTGTTTAGACAGAGAATGGCAGTGCCCTCCATGAAGCTGCCCTTTTTGGAAAGATGGATGTAGTTCGCCTTCTGCTTGACTCAGGTTGGTCAATAAAAAATGTATTTTCTGCATGTGTGTACCTTGTTTCCATTTTTTAAATTTAACCCGCAGCTAGTCGTTTCACGTTTACTTCTGTCAAACTGTGAGTTACGAGGCATCGATGGCTGCTGATGTTCATAATGTTAGAAACATTTGACTTTTGTCTTTATCACCGTTTTCAGCCAAATCAACAGGATGTGATTTTTTTTGTTTTGAAAATGTCAAATCCGTGAGACAGAAGTGGCCCCCTGAATGTGCAGCAGCTATAAGCCTGAACTATAGATTTAATAAGGTGAATCATGATCTTAAGGAAAACTTAAAACTGCAAGCTTAAAAATGTATAAACGATTATGTCACGTCAAAATTGAAGGACGAAATAGACTTAAAAGTAAAAATTCAGTGAAAGTTCCAAGTAGTATCTGGGCATTGTCATCCATTGATGTGCCTGCATACTAACACCCACTTTCCTACAGCACTTCCTGTTTCCTGCAGGACTTCCTGTTTCCTGCAGGACTTTCTCTGGGCGTTCATGCACTTTTTGGCCTGAGTTGTGTTAACATCCTGAATCGGTGTAGTACTGTACTGGTTTGGTCTGTTCCAGTTTGCTTGTTTGAAACTGTGCACATCAAAAATGAAGGAATAGTTATTTGGGTTTCTTTTTTTCCCCCTGATCATTTATTAACCTTTAATCATTTACTGGTATGTACCTTTATTCTGCACTGCTTAATATTTCTTGGCAGATGGTGTTAAACTTGTTTTTTTTTATTTTTTATGGAAAGTGAGAAAATTATAGTTTGACATCTATGATTTACTACTGGACTGTCACTGTCAGAGACTAGTTGGTGAATCAGTATTGCAAGAAAATACTTGTTTTCCTTCGCAGTATGACCAAGTGACTATTGAACTGTGCTGCCACATTTTATGCATCCAACTGTTAAACATCACTGCATATTTTTAGTTGCCTGACATTCTGTACCTTTAACATGAAACAGAACGGGGTTCCTGATTATTTCAAATGATCCAGCCTTATCAGCCTAAATCACTGATTCTTTTTTCCAGTTTAAGAACATAATGACCTTCATAAATGTAGCTTGTATACGTAGGTGCAACGACAGATGTCCAATTTGACAATATTATCGTCCTTATCAGCAGAGTTGTGAATAAGTTATTTTAAGCAGGAGAGAAAGTGAAGTGAAGTGGGCCACATCTTGGACAAAGTGTGATGACTTTTTTTTTTTTTTTTTTTTTAGATAAAATTTGTGGCTCAAGATATATATTAAATATTTTTGATCAGGACATGTCTTTTATCCCCCACATTAAAAATGTTACTAGAACCGCCTTCTTCCACCTGCGTAATATCGCTACAATTAGAATAATCTTCTCTAAAAATGATGCATAAAAACTGGTTCATGCATTTGTCACGTCTAGACCGGACTATTGCAATGGTTTATTATCTGGATGTCCAAATACTTCTTTAAAAAGTCTTCAGTTGATCCAAAATGCTGCTGCCAGAGTCTTAACTGGAGTTGGTAGGAGAGATCATATCTCCAGTTTTAGCTTCTCTTCATTGGTTCCCTGTCAAATCACCTACAAAGCTCTCAACAACCTAGCTCCATCTTATATTAGAGCTCTTATTGTCCCATATTTTCCTAACAGAGCACTTCGCTCTCAGACTGCAGGCTTACTCGTGGTTCCTAGAGTTTCCAAAAGCAGAATGTCAGGCAGATCTTTCAGTTATCAGGCTCCTCTCTTGTGGAACCAACTTCCAGTTTCTGTCCATGAGGCTGACGCATTGTCCAGTTTTAAGACTGGGATTAAGACTTGACTTTTTGATAAATCCTATAGTTAGGGTTGGCTTGTTATGCTGCTATAGGCTTAGACTAATGGAGGACAAATTGACCTAATTTCCTTAAATGATTTGCTAAAATTGAATAGTTTTCTTTTGATATTATTTAATCTTTACGTAATTCTTGACCTGCCATTGTGTATCTGTTCCTACCAAACCCAGCTGGTCGAAGCAGATGGCCACTTGTCCTGAGCCTGGTTCTGCTTAAGGTTTCTTCCTCATGAGAGTTTTTCCTTTCCACGGTCGCCTTCTTGCTTGCTCAAGATGAGAGTTCTGTGATGGAGTTAAACTCAAAGCAGTCTGCTCCTCACATAAATAATGTTATTAACTTACTTTTTATGTATATGAATGTTTCTGTTCAGTGCCCTGAGACGACTTCTGTTGTGACTCGGCGCTAACTGAATTGAATTATGTAAATATATTTAATATGTTCAGAATTTGTGACAAAACTGGGAGCATCAGCGACTCAAGTGAGGAAATTTAATTCCCCCACAAACATAGTGAGACACTCTGGAAACTCCTTCACAACTAGTCACCAGCAATTACAGTCCAGTGGGATACTACCTTTGGACATTCACTTTTTATTCAATTACAACAACAAATAATAGTATTATTTGGAAATAACTGATTATAGCTAATCACTTTATCCATAAAAAAAGTTTCATTTGCCAGTGGTTTTACAATGTAAATATTGTCAAATCTTACAAACCGCTGGACTAAGTTTGCTTAACCAAGTAAAGGCTGTGGAAACTGATGAAATAAAGTGCAAAATATCATATAGACCAAATTAAATAAACTTTAGCTCAGTTCTTTTGGTTATTTGATGCTCATGACACCCAGCAGAGTGGCAGAGAGTTTGTAAAATGTGACGAACACAAGAAAAGACTAACCGGGTCCAAACAAGAACTCGTACAGACAGAATGTGTTTAAATCTTATAAAAAGAGATGTACAGAATGTATTTCTCTTCCAATTTTTTTTTACTTTGCTTAGGTTTTGTTTTGAACTCTGCCCAGACTTGTGTGAGAATAGGTCCTTCTTTGAAATTCTAAAATGTATTTTGTCTTATGAAAAGCAATTTTTGCAGTTTTAGAAAAAAAATCACGAGGTGTACACATGTATGCATTTAAGCACTATATATTTCAGAAACTATAGTTCAATCTCCACTTGTACGCTGTTGTTAAATTATAAACTAATTAATATTGTGTACTTTATGTGCATTTCAGGGATTGACACCAGTCTTAGAGACAGTAAGGGGAGAACAGCACTGGACATTTTGAAAGAACATCCTGCACCAAAAGCCCAGCAGATCACTGCTCTTATTCAAGGTGAGACGATCCCCAATTTAAATTTACTAACAAACTGGGTCTTTACTGTGGCAGATAAGCACACATGCAATAAATATAATCAATTAAAAAGGGACTAAACTAATAACTGTATATAGGCTCCTAATGCAAACAAATGGGATTGGTATAAAGACTGAAAGATCTTAAGTGCTGCATCTGCGTTAGGACTCTTCCATATCTGATTTCACCTGGTTAGTTTTTGTAAAAAAATATAATTGTTCAGAGACTGGTGCCTGATGGTTAGCTTTCATTGGCTGAAAGTGACCGTTCAGATTGGATGTGGTGAGCGGTGAGGACATGCGGAGCTCGAGCTGAGTTTATCAGAGTATGACTTAGTGACTCTTGGAAGTGGACGTGGTACAACTGAGAAATCTTGTTTTCAAGGAAGTTCATTGTCTTCTGAGAAACAATAGAAGCTGCTGTATGTGTTGAGTGCACTGTGGTATTCTCACAATACAATGTTGTAAATCTGTTCAACTATTTCACTGGATTAGTTAGAACTTGAATTAGACGGTTCTCAGTGGGTTTTTGGAGTTTGCAGTAAAAAACAAAAACAAGTGGCATTTTGTTTTGTTTAGGGTCTAAATCTCTTTAACATTTTATGGATTCCATTGGAAATTAGAACGAATAAATGGCATTTTAATTGTGTCATAGAGTGACTGATGTTTATTCACAAATTGATTGTATCCTCTGCTTGGACACTTGCCATGATGCTGCTCTCCTTTTTCCCGTTTGCTTTTTATCTTTACAGCATCTTAGCAGGTCATGGTCTCTGAGCAGTAGACCTGGATTTGGTAGCTGGTGCTAAAATCAAATCTCTTCTGCAAAAATCCCTCTAGCAACTTTTTTTGCTTTTTTGGGACTTGACCAGGGGAGGTACAAACGTGCTTTTTGTTAACTTTTCTCTTTTTTTGTAATGCAGGGTTTTCTATTGTAGCCAAGAAATTTCTTTCCATACGTAAATTTGAATTTCTCTTACGAACTATTTACAAACTGATAAATTTAGATTTATGATATTTGCTTTTAGTCACTATTTGGGTTTGTCCTTTCAAACTCAGCCGGTCGAAGCAGATGGCCGCTTGTCCTGAGCCTGGTTCTGATAAAGGTTTCTTCCTCATGAGGGAGTTTTTCCTCGCCACTGTCGCCTTCATGCTCAAGATGAGAGTTCTGTGATTAAGTTAAATTCAAAGCAGTCTGCTCCTCAGATAAATAATGTTATTGACTTGCTTTTTATGTATTTGAATATTTCTGTTGTGACTTGGCACTATATAAATAAACTGAATTTAATTTAATCTTTTTTGTGGCTATTAACACATTATTTTTTATGTTTTTGTGTGACATCTGAGAAAAGGAGAGCAACAAGTAAAAAAAAATGCCAACAACAAAAAAAAAAAAACAATGTCATTGCCATATTCATATTACACATGGTTGTACAAATCTAGCTTCACCTTGTTATTACTGTATACTGGATTAAAATGGCTGGGTCCAAGTCATAAGTTCATCATGTTAATTTAATTCAAAGACACAACTGTTTTTCATTTTTCCAGCTTCCATCAAAATGCTTGTTTCACTCCTAAAGCACTGCAGTGTGTTTTGTGTTCGACCAGTGATCGTTCGTGTGAATGTTCAGTCCCCGAGAACCCAAAAATGGCAACTTCCAAAGAAATTGCCAATTTACATGCTACAATCCTTGGCTAAAGAGGTGTGCTTTATGTGTCATTGTGCAATCTGTGGGTGTACGTTGGACGTGTAGTTACTGTGAATTTAAACAGAGGGAGATGAAGGCATTCAGAAACAGGGTTTGAAGAATGAGGAGAATTGAAGAGCCAAAATAAATTGCAGACTAGCTTTAATTAGGATGTACATGCATCAATGGGAATATAAACCAAGGGATATGAAAAAAACAATACGGTTAATAAGTTCTCAATTAAAATTGAGAACTAAATATTCCTGATAATTGTTTAAGAATCAGAATCATTCAAATAACATTATAAGGGTACATGGTGTGTCTATTTTTCTATAAGTATACATGTATATATATATTTTGCTTTAAAGAAACTCCAAAATAGTTTTTAAACCCGCTAGCGTGTCAGTGTTATTTGTTTTATTATGCTATAAGACTTGCATTATTAAAATAAGCAGATAGGCAAGGCAAGGCTTGCCATGAAACTGCATTATTAGATAACTGATAAAAATAACCAAAGTTGTAATTCTGAGCCGCTGCAGGCAAGCTGTTAAATAAAGGCAATTTTGCATTTTCATTGTTCCTCCAGTGTTGAACAAAGCAAATGTGTAGACATATTTTCACTTTCGTCCTTTTGAGACAACGTGGACATATTTTTATGGTGAAAAACCTGCACACTGTTAGATTAATTAAACCCTTTTTTAAATTAAACAAAGGAGAGGTGTATTTAAAACATCCTGTAATGCCTTTTTTCAGTGTTTTTTTAAACATTTTTTTCTGCTTATGAAACACAAGTTACACAAATGAGACTGCACCTTTTAAAAGATCTAAGCTGTTTTAAACATACTAAAGAAGGAGCAGCTACTTTAAACATAATCATTAGTTCTTGATTTTGTAGTTCGTCTTCCTTTCTGTGGCTCAGATTTGAATCAACCAGCAGATAAAGTTGCTTGTTTCTAAATTAGTGGGTCATTTAGTCATTATCCCTCCATACATTTATTTACTTCTCTAATAGTAAACTGAATATTAGATTCAAAATTATTTATTCAACAGTTTATATGACTCAAAACAAAGTGTTGCTTTACATCTGCTAAAATATATGAAAGACCTGCTCAGTTGCAGTTTGTGGGTCTGCCTCCCTCTGCGGCTGATATTGTGCACCTCACAAAATGTGTTGCACGCAGAAATGAATCAGTGAAGTTGTTTTTAAACACGTCTGAGCTTAATTATTGATTTAATTTAAACACATCTGTGTGCTTCAACACAGATGGATCGTGTCTTGAGCACTGAAGATAGAAAAAGCACTCGTAGGGGGTTACAGAATTTTAAATGTTGAAAATTAACATCTGTCCAATCTCAAAGCCAGAGGTGGAAAGATAGTGGGCATCAGCATAAATAAAAGAGTGAATGTGCCTGTATTAGAGGAAGGAGAAGAAGAGAGAAAGGCCACAGCTGTGACTTTGTGAAAAGATCAGCTGCGTGATGTTTCCTGTTGGAGGGGAGATGGAAAAGGACACGCAAAAAGCAAAAGACCTATCATTTACTGAATTGTACCAGCTGAGGGCCTCTCTGGTGGCCGCTGGCGCCTTGTTATGAATAGATTCTCATTTAATTTACAGAGCACAATTAGTGCTACTGTTTGAACTATTAGTTCACTATTGCACTGCTTGGCAGCCACTGGTTGTGTTACAGTGCAGTGCATGGGCTCCTTAACAGTGTGCTCTGTTTTCTGCTGTTTCTGTAGCATCCACTGCAAAATAAACCCATCTCAGGGTTCATTTTATGCTGTTGGAATCTAAAACATTAAATGTTGTGTATCGTGATTACTGAGGGGAATGCTTTTTATAATATTATAAGTACAACTATGCAGTTTCACATCATTACCAGGCTTCTCATTAGTTCTCTTCAGGCAATCTGCCACCATATTTTTCAGTGTAAGCACTTTTTGTTTGCTAATTTCTCACTTAAACAAGTTCATTATCCAAGTCTGTGACTTGTTTCTGCCCCCACACCTGAACCTGCTCTGTGTCCATCTCTCTCCCAGAGTTTACCCACAAATTTCTCTCGTCTTCTGTTACGAACAGCAGAATAGTCTTATTAGCAGAAGCTGCAAAGTGATTTTGTGGTGCCTCAAAAAGTGTGAATTGAAAGCAACTCGAGCTGTTTACCATGCTAATGGTTGTGCTATTGTATTGATCCAGTAATGCTGTCTCTACCGCCTTTATCACTTTGCCGTTGAAACTCATTTTTATATTTTTCCTGGTTTTGATTTGCCGTACTTTCCGCAGTAAACGTTGCCCCGCCGTATAAGTCGTATTAGTCAAAATATGTCTAATAAAGTGGAAAAAATCATAAATAAGTTGCTTCGTTGTATAAGTCGCATCTATTATGCATCATCGCTGACCACCCGGAAATGTGGGGCCGGTGTTGTGCCAAAAATCAAATTGTGACCGCAGGAGCGTGCACGGGAGGATTTTAAACAAGATTGACACTTAAAAACAATTATTTGTTTGCTCAAAATTATAGTAAAGGTGTGTCTCAGTCTAACTTTTCCTTACAGCTGCATTTCATCTGGGCGGCGTGCCGAAATGCAGCTGATTTGATGTTTGCTCCAGGAGTTCCAGAGCGAGATGAAGGTGGCTTGGTATGGCAAGCCAAATGTCTCATTAATAGCCACTTTTATCTATTAATGAGACACTTGACATGCCAAATTACTCGAGAGCCTTCTAGTGGCTGAAAATGGTAGTGTTCAATATTTTCCATGTCAGAAGGAATGAAATTGTCAGATCTCAGCCAAAAATTGGATTATAAATATGGGTAAAAAACAAATAAGTTTTGTCACCGTAAAAGTCTCAGAGCATGCCAATTTATGCAAAATGGTGCAACTTATATGGCAAAAAGTACGGTATATGTAATTATAATACTCCTTGTCTCACATATGTTTCTGCCTCCATGTCTCTTTAGACTATATGGACAGGCTGGAGAAGAATATAATGGAAGAACCTGTTCGCAAGTGTCCTATACCTGCACCTCGGACCTCTATCGCCTCACCTGCTGCCTCCCCCTCCCTCAAACACAAGAGTAAGAACCTCACACACAGACGTTCAAACAGCTAAACTGAGAAACAACCAGAGGCTGTTTACTCCTCCTGTTGCATTCTGGGTGATTTGATTAGTAACGGATAGCTTTAAATTTAGGCTTAAACCAGGAGAAACTGAGATCTGATCTCACAGACCATATTTGAAATTAGATTGTGATGCATGTGGCTGGACTCTTTCTTTTTAATAATGGGGGGATAAAAGTATCTTGGATCACCTTTAAGGACTGTCTGATGAACCTGATGCAGAGCTACATAAATAGTTTTTTTATCATGGATAATTTCTGCTTTTCTGATGTCCAGAAACTAAAGCACAGGATTGACACTAAACAATCACAAATTCACTCATGTTGAGACACAATCCACACAAACACATGTCGAGATGTGCTATGGCTCGGCCAGGATGCTTGTCAATAAGTGTAAACAGCGTTTGACATTTAAGGTAACAACATTTATAAATAGCTTTCTGAATGACATATTCAGTCTTGTATAAGAAAGTGTATAAGCATCATTTTCACCAGAAAGATATTAGACTTGAAAAAGTATATACTGCACAAAATTAACAGTATAAAATGTTCCAAAACTATTTTAAAATAATATAAGATAATAATCAATGAACATTATTCATAAACCAATCAAAATATGGAATACTTAAGTTTCCTTAATTGTCAAACAAAGCGGAGTTAAACCAGTCATGGAAATCATTTTCCTCAGTGAACAACACAGTTACTGTCTGCACAGCCGAACATTTACCCTGTCCAGCACTGCCCCCTGTGAAACAAATGAGACTGACTGCTTCTCAATGTCCAAGCAATACAGAGCAGAGACAGAAAATGAGTTGATGAGAAGTCGCTGCAGATCTAAAGGCTAAACATTTAATGAAACTTGAACATGCTAGTTTAATATCCTGTACCTTCTTCTAATGATGGGGACTGGCTTCACATTGCTATCATAAGAGACAGTTATGGTTTATTTTTATTCCCATCTCCTTTAGCACATTTTTAAGTGAAAGATGGTGAAAGTGCTATTTAAATATTATATGTTCCCATATAATGACAACATTTGTGCTCTGCATTTAATCCATCGCACGTGAGACACACCCAGGTGGAGCAGCGGGCAGTTATGTAAGCACCCGGCGAGCAGTTAGGGATTAGGTGTCCTGCTCAAGGATGTGGGCATAGTGGGGAGTTGATCCCGTGACTTTCTGATCCCAAATCAGCTGCCTTACCACTGCCGCCCATGAAATAAAGGAAATTAAAATATTGGAACACAAAGTGAAATTAGGAAGTATTCCTTTGAGATTAATAAAGGTTATTCTGATTAACGTTCTCACTCTGTCCAGATGATGCAGTCACAAGCGAGCTGTCCAAACTGCTTCATGACATTAAAAAGTGCCGGGACAGAGACTACTCCTTCGAGGAGCTCTGCCACACCATCTCCTCCCACTCCATGGACAGCTTTGGAAGTGGGCGCCTGTCTGACGAGGAGCGCCCAGATAGACCCAACGGCACCCTAACTCGTAGCACTAAGGTATGCTAATGGCAGAGGCACGATGAATTACCAGATGTTGTTAGCTTTGTATAAATTATGTAATTTAATTTCTTCTGGATCTGCTTCTGAGAGATTATTTAATACAGTTGTTGTGTACGAAACAAGTATGTGTTGTCAGCGTCTTACTTGCAGCAGGCAAAGTTCAGAAAAATCTCATTAAATTAAATAAACAGGTGTTTATTTGAAAAAAAATGTTGACATTGTAAACAGCTGTTTACAAAGTGACAACGCAAAAATAAAAATAAATGCATGAACATCCAACTGCTTGTAAAAGGTTTGGTTGTCTGATGTTTGAAGTTTAAAAACTGATTGCATGACTAGTCCATTAAATTTATCTTTGATAATCCAACTAACTAAGAACACCATCTACTGCAGGTAAGCTAATTACTGCTCTTTTAATTCTACACAACCATCTAAAAATGAACCCCTTTTACAATACCTGAGCAGAAATATAACATCTATAATAATAATATAATATCTATAATCCTGCTGCTGTTTGGCTGGATGGTGTTTTGCACAGCTGCATGTTGACATGAGGAAAAAAGTGAGCAAATATGAAAATCCCAACTTATCTAGTGGATGAAGCACCACCAGTAATAGATTAATGAATAAGTAATAATATAATAATAATAATAATAATAATAATAGAATTAGAAAAATTAGAGAGTTATTCATTTTGTTCTGTTACTTGAAAATTATTATGATTGAAATAATTGTTTGAAAAAAGGGGCAGATATAATAAGATTTTTTCTTCTTTCTGCTGCTTTTCATTTTAAATCTTTTGTATTTATTTTTTTATATTGTTATGGAATTGTTTTGTACTTTTTTTAAATGAATAAACTTTATACCATACCAATAAACTTTAGAAGCATTTGGATCAGCTATACCTATTATCTAATTTAGTAGAACATAACTAACTTATTTTCTGTGAAGTCTGAGATTTAGCTGAGGATCTTGAGGTGTATCAAGCATAATGTTTATGAACATTTTGCTTCATGTAATTTATATTTCCTCCCTCTTGTTTGAATTATTCTTCTATGCAAATGTTTTATTTTCAGTGTAGATGTGTCAGCAGTATGAAATGCTTGGAAGTTAAATGATCTGACTCATCCAAAATAATTAATCACTGCAGGTTTATGTCTTTAGTTCAAATGTATCTCTGCTGGTTTCTTGATGATTGCTTGTACTTGTTTTATTTCAACAACAGAGGGCAGTATTAGACAGACTGAGCCCAACAAACTGGCAACTTGTTCCTGCAGCAAATAAAACAAAATTATTTTGTGTTGGTTTAGAACTAATATTTGTCTTCAAACTAATTCTTCCTTTTTGTGACATTTTAATTTTGAAATATCAGATGCTCCTGTCTTGTCCACATACTTAATCATTTTCTTCTGACAGAAGCATAAACCTAATGAAACCTGAATGCCTGGTTCATGTTGGAGAAATAATTGACTTATTTTAATGAACTGATTGAAAAACTACACTTATTTTACAGCCAGCAAAACATGACAAAAAATATTTCAGGATTTTTAATTCCACAGGCAAAATGTTAGAACAGAAGTCATTGGGCATACCCCCCCCCCCCACACACACACACACCACCACCACTACTACACACCCCACCACCTGAGCCTTGAGACTCTCACATGCAAAAATAAATAAATAAAATAAGCCACTTGAGCGTGTCTGTGATTACCACCTCCATGCTCATTTTCATTTGTCTACTTTTAGTTTTCTTCTGTCATAAGTGAAAACACAACCTTAGCAAGACGTTGATCAATACAATTCAATTCAGTTTATTTATGGAGCACCAAGTCACAACGGAAGTATCTCAGGGCACTGAACAGAAACATTCATATGTGAAAATAATAATTTAAGACTTTATCTGAGGAGCAGACTGCTTTGAATTTAACTTAATCGCAAACTCTCATCTTGAACAAGCATGAAGGCGACAGTGGAAAGGAAAAACTCCCTCATGAGGAAGAAACCTTTAGCAGAACCAGGCTCAGGACACGTGGCCATCTGCTTTGACCGGCTGGGTTTGGTAGGAACAGATACACAATGGCAGGTCAAGAATCACATGTTAAGATATAAATAATATCAAATGAAAATTATTAAATTTTAACAAATTAAGGAAATGACGTCAATTTGTCCTCTAGTAGTCTAAGCTTAAAGCAGCATAACAAGCCAACCCTAACTATAGGATTTATCAAAAAGGAAAGTCTTAAGCCCAGTCTTAAAACTGGACAATGTCCTCATGGACAGAAACTGGAAGTTGGTTCCACAAGAGAGAAGCCTGATAACTGAAAGCTCTTCCTCTCATTCTGCTTTTGGAAACTCTAGGAACCACGAGTAAGCCTGCAATCTGAGAGCAAAGTGCTCTGTTAGGAAAATGTGGAACAATAAAATCTGGAATGTAAGATGGAGCTAGGTTGTTGAGAGCTTTGTAGGTTAGAAGTAAGATTTTGAATTTATTTCTGGATTTGACAGGGAACCAGTGGAGAGAAGCTAAAACTGGAGAAATATGATCTCTCCTACTAACTCCAGTTAAGACTCTGGCAGCAGCATTTTGGATCAACTGAAGACGTTTTAAATACGTATTTGGACACCCAGATAATAAACCATTAAAAGTGTCCAGTCTAGACTTGACAAATGCATGAACCAGTTTTTCTGCATCATTTTTAGATAAGATGTTTCTAATTTTAGTGATATTACGCAGGTGGAAATAGGCGGTTCTAGTAGCATTTTTAATGTGGGAGATAAAAGACCTGATCAAAAATAACACCAAGATTTTTAACAATAGAGCTGGAGGACAGATTAATGCCATCTAAGGAGGGCGAAAGACTGAAAAATTAATTCCTAAGATGCTCAGGTCGAAAAACTAAAACCTCAGTCTTGTCTGTGTTCAAAAGCAGAAAATTTAGGATCATTCAGGTTTTATGTCTTTAAGACTTGCTTGTAGTCTAAGTAGCTGATTGGATTCATTGGGTTTCATGGACAAATACAACTGTGTATCAACAGCATAATGATGAAAATTTATCCCTTGCTGTTTAATAATATTACCTAATAGAAACATATATAAGGTGAAGAGTATTGGTCCAAGCACTGAACCTTAATACCTTATCATTTTTCCATTTCTGCAATAAGCCCACTTTAAATGGAAGACTAATTATGAATATATACTGCAGTGTGGTGTTTACAGCTTCAGGCCAAAGGTCACACACCTGTGCATGTACTGAGAATGCATAAACCTCTGCTCAAGTAGGCTGTAATTATTTCAATCCATCTTGTATCCTTCTACCTTATTACGTACTAATTTGTATTCTATTATGAGCACTTTCAGTGTGTATGTGTGTTTATGTGCCCCCAGCCTTGTGGGAACATGTTGCCAAAGCCATTAGTGTGAGATTCAGGGTGCCCATTAGTCATGAATAAAGCTCAAATCAGCTCTCCTGTCCACTCAGAAATACAGGCTACGTTTAGTATCTTGGTGCCCAGTGTGTGTTCTGGACAAGAGCAGAAGTGTTGTGGATTTTAAATGAGGACAAGTAGGTGTGCATTCAGAGGATTCAATTATGACTGAAGGTTATAGTTCAAAGTGAGGACAGACCAGTTTGCAGACCAGGATTCATAAGTAAAAAGCTGAAGAGGCTTTGAAGACGTAAAATATTACATACACCAACGATGAGGGCAGACTTTCAACAAAGTAATGATGAAACCTTATTATACCCACAGGGATAATTAAACAAACTCTTACCGCTTGAAGAATTAAACACGACTGGTGTAAACTAGAGAGAGACAGGAGAGAAACGAGCTGTGGTATTGCATGAGGAAGTCTGGAGTGGTAGAGAAGTATGTTCGACTGGTACAGAACATGTATGAGGACAGCAGGACAGTGGTGAGATGTGCTGTAGGAGTGACAGATGGCTTCAAGGTGGAGGTGGGAGTGCATCACGGATCATCTCTGAGCCCCTTCTTGTTTGCTCTGGTGATGGACTGACTAAGATGAGGCCAGGCAGGAATCCCCATTGATTATGATGTTTGCAGATGACACTGTGATCTGTGGTAGGATAACTTGGAAAGGTGGAGATATGTACTTGAAAGAAGAGGAATGAAGGTCAGTAAGACAGAGTACATGTGTGTAAATGAGAGAGGCAGGTGGAACAGTGAGGCTACAACAAAGGTGCAAGACTTCCAATACGTAGGGCCGGCTGTCCAGAAACACAGGGACTGTGGTCAAGACGTAAAGAAGTGGGTCCAGGTAGGATGGAGTGGATGGAGAAAAGTTTCAAAAGTGATTTGTGACAAAACAAGTGGCAACAAAGTTCAAATGAAAGGTTTTTACTTGTATATTCCTATAAGGTTTTTAACTAGAACTGTATCGGATACAGAAAACGGTTATAAACCCCAAACCCCTCCATTTTCCTAAAAGACATACAGTGCATCCGGAAAGTATTCACAGCGCTTCACTTTTTTCCACATTTTATATTACAGCTTTATTCCAAATTGTATTGAATTAATCTCCATCCATCAATTATCTTTAACCCACTTTTTCCTTTTTGGGTTGCCGGGGTCACTGGTGCCCTTTGAATCAATCACTTTTCTCAGTTCTACACACAGTACCCCATCATGACAATGTGAAAAATATATATTTTTTTAGATTTTTGCAAAAAGCATTAAAAATAGAAAACTAAGAAATCACATTTACATCAGTATTCACAGCCTTTGCTTAATACTTTGTTGATCCTCATTTGGCAAAAGTTACAGCCTCAAGTCTTTTTGAATATGATGCCATAAGCTGAGCACACATATCTTTAGGCAGTTTGTCCCATTCTTCTTTGCAGTACTTAAGTTCCATCAGGTCGGACGGACATCTGTTCAAAGCCATTTTCAAATTTCTCCAGAGATGTTCAATTCGATTCAAGTCTGGACTCTGGCTTGGCAACTCCAGGACCTTCACAGAGTGGTCCTGAAGCCACTCCTTTGAGATCTTGGCCATGTTTTTTGGGTCATTGTCCTGCTGAAAAATGACCCGTCGCCCTAGTCTGAGATTGGGCGAAACAACCCTTCCACTTTGACTAGCAGTGGATGGAACTCTGAACTTCTGATGTGTTTAAGAAAACCACTTTAAAACAGATTACATAATTCATTTAAAACTTTTAAGTGGGGCCAAGATGATGTAGAGGTAGGGCAGCTGACTTGGGACCAGAAAGTCACAGATCGACTCCCCACCATGCCCACATGTCGTGGTGTCCTTGAGCAAGACACCTACCCATACTTTCTGCCTTGGAAGTTGCACCACCATATAAGTTGCATCAGTCCAAATATGTCTAATAAAGTGGGAAAAAACATAAATCGCTTCGCCTTATACGTCGCGTCTATTATGCGTCACGGCTGGCGCGTCGCATTTGTTTTAAGTCACCGCTGACAACCTGGAAATGTGGGCTGGTGTTGTGCCAAAAATCAATGGGCTGCCAAATGGCGACCGCGGGAATGTGCACGGGAGGACTTTAACAAGAATTTAACAAGATTAACACTTACAATTATTTGTTTTCTCGACATTATAGCAAAGGTGTTTCTCTGTTGAACTTTTCCTTAATAAATACACTTTAATGGTCAGATCAGCTGAATTTCCCCTGGACGTTGCGGCAAAATGAAGGTCCAGGAGTTCAGGAGCAAGACAAAGATGGCTCTGTATGGCAAGCCAATTGTCTCATTAATAGCCACTTTTACTTATTAATGAGACACTTGGCTCACCATATTTGTCCAGGGCCCTCTAGTGGCTGAAAATGGTAGTGTTCAATATTATCCCATGTCTGAATGAATGAAATTGTCAGATCTCAGCCAAAAATTGGGTTATAAATATGGGGAAAAAACGTAAATTAGTCACTTCGGACTATAAGTCACAGGACTTGCTAATTTATGCAAAAAGATGTGACTTATAGTCCGAAAAGTACGGTAATCCCTAATTTCTTCCCAGGCGCTTGCATAGCTGTCCACTCTCCACCTGGGTGTATCTCAGGTGTGATGGGTTGAATGCAGAGAACTAATTTTGTCATGGGAACATACAATGATAACAACACATAGCACTTACTCAAGTGTCTGCATAGTATGACTTGTTATGAAATTTGTTAATGTGACTGCTGTTCAGTGATCATCAGCATTATGAAAATACTTTCACAAACATGGACACGAGGCATCAGACTGGACGATTGACGGCGCCCAGAAGTCTGATGTTTGGGTGACACTCAGAGTATCGGCACTGAGAACATTCTTCTCAACGTGCATCATATGCTGTTTCTGATCATATTTTGCACGTTTGTCATGTTTTCGCCTCTGCTCACTTTGTTTAACTTTGACTAGTGCCTTTTTATCTGAAGGACCGTGGTTGTTCATCACCACTCATAATTCCACACAGTCAACTTGACTTTTCACAGCTAATCAAGTCTCTGCTACTCAAAACGTCACGACAGAGCCTCTAGATAAAAAACATGAACTCAGACTCGGTACAAAGAATATTTTTGTTATGATATTGAATTTTCTGCTCCATCAAATCAGTGAAGCTAGTTGTTGAGATGTATTTTAGAAAAGAGAAAACACATGGTTTTCTCTCCGACAGCATGTGTATTGATCCTTTGTGCAGTTTACTGTGATTAATAATTAAAGAAGGTTTTTCTATTGAACACAAACTGATACCAGATTTTTACTGTAATGAAAGGATAGCGCTACCTTCCATGTGTGCAGTGCAGCATGTGGACAGTATATGAAGACTGCAGTCCATTTTAGATCGATCGATACTTGATTGCTGCAAAGGTGACTGCAGTCTGAAGGCACTGGTGACCTTTTTCCTGTTCTCCTTTTTGCTCTTCCTATCTGATTTTCCTTTTTTTCTGAATCTAATTCAGATTTCACAGTTTTTATCCAAGGTTTTCCTGTTCCTGAGACATTTTGTGGTCTGTGTCCTTAGCTGGAGCGTGTGATTCAGTGAGATATCAGGTGAGCTGTATGTGCTGTCCTGAACCTCACTGCACACAGCTCGCCCACACACCTGTCCCCCTGAGAGCCAGTGAGCCTCAGGTAAAGACACTGTGCAGGTGTGTGAACTCACTTTGTCCTGCCATTAACATTACTGCACTTTCTGATGCAGTTATGTGGCTCACAAAGCAACAAAATGAAGCAATTCATTAAAAAAAAAATGTGTGTTGGAGATATATATATATTTTTTGTTCAAAACAAGTTTTAGCAATAATACGTTGCTTTGTGTTGCATTTATTTTTGATATTCTGGAAACTCAGTTAGATAAATGTTATATTTCATCTACCATATTGGCGAAACAACTAAAAATGTTTGTTTTAGTTTTTACACCGTTTAATGTTAAATTTTCATTCTATAGCTGCTATAGAATGAAAATTTAACATCAAACGGATAAATGGATAAACCTGCTATAGTATAGCAGGTTTATCCATTTATCTTCCTTAAAATAGCAGCTTACTGTGATTTATATCATAATGAGGACCAGTGTTACTAATGAGCAGAGTGAAAAATCTAAATAAAAACTCATCTCTGTGAGTTTTGCTCTTATAAAATGTTATCCAACATCTCTATCGACTTGCTTTTTTTTTTTTTTTTTTTGGTCTTTAAGAAGCCCAGCTCCTGACCAATCAGTGAAACTTGTTTTCTCCAATCCTGTCCGTTCTGTCAAACCCTGTCCACAACACCACAAGTGTTTATTTTTTATTTTTTGTAAAAGCACAGTTTTTATGCTTTTGACATTTATGTTTGAATGCTGTTAAAGTTACTGCAAAGACACATTTTTTATTTTATTTTAAAAAGTGAGAGATTGGGAAACTTTGTGGAAGAGTTAAAATTTTGCGAGGGATCATTTAGGATTTGTGGAAACAAAGATCCAGACACCCACACTTTTGGCTTTTTGATTGTTTACCACCTGATCTAAATTTTCGCATCAGAATCAACCTTTATTGTCATTGCTCAGAAGCACAATGAAATTACATTTCAGTACAGCCATCCAAAGAAAACAACATGGGTAGACAGAGATGCCTGAGGCTGCAGCCTCATAGGAAGCACTGCCCTTTTTGCCCATCAAGGAAGAGGGCCGGCAATGGAGGAGGGGGCGTACCAAAGAGACCATCTTATCACAAGCAAAACTGGTTTGTTCCACTTTGGAGTAAGCTGTTGGGGGAAGAATCAGTTTTGTTGTGTGTTTCCTTGACTGATGAAGCCTTCCGGATCAAAGGCGAAACGTTTCAGCACAAAAAATTAAACTGTCCAGATGACCTGACTGAAAAATGTTGCACTGCCCTTTTTGTTTAGATAAGGAAAAGGGAAAACTTGAGGAAAGAGGAGGTATAAAAAAAATCATACCTCACACTGTGTCCTTGACGGGATGCAGTGTAAAGTTGCAAAAATCCTCTGCTCAAGTAAAAGCAACATACTGGTGACATAAAAACACATGCATGTGGAGTGGGTGAGGGTGGGGTTTCCAGCACAGGCTGCACAAGTGAGCGACGCAACCACTGGTGCCTTCGCAATCAGTTGCGTTGAGACCAGCTGACCAGATCCATAATTTACAATTCAGAAGATATGCAAAAAGAGGTGCTAAAAAGGTTCACAGAACAAAGAGCAGGGGAAGGAGCAGGAGGAAAAATTATCTGCCTTCACCAAGAGCAAGAAGGGGAAAAAAAAACATGCCAGTAGTCTAAAGTCAATTACAAACAAACCCCTCCCATTCCTGATAACGCAGTTCTACACATTCAGTTTGTGTGTTGTTGTTTTGTTTGGACACGGGTGTTGTCTGTAAACTGGGAAATTAAACATTTTTGTGCAGAATATGAACCCTCCTGATTGGTTTCAGTGCTTTTCTCAAGACTCAAGGATTCAAGGTTCTTTTTGTTATTCGCATCACATACGGTACATGTGGTGGAACAAAATTATGTACACCCAGTTACATCCAACAAAAGTATTAAAATGTAAAGAAAAGCAGTAATAAGATCTAAGAAATGAACTAAAAAAAACATGAATAAAAAAACACTTTGCACAAGTAGCATAAAAACAGTACATTGAACAGCAGCACGAACATGAGTCTGTGTGAGCAGATGAGTCATGCAGTGTCGTGAGATAAAGCTCTTTAAAAACACGCTTCTCGTATGCACGAGTTCGAGTGGTTTGAGATTTCAAACCAAGCGCAGCTAAAAGGCATACGGTGGTCAGAGCTCAACAGTCCTCACGTTGTGTTCCTCTGTTCTGTTTGATTTGTGTTTGCTTGAGAACAGCTTGGTATTGATTGACCTCGCTTTTTGTCCAACGTTCTTGGTTGCCTGGGTGACAAGTTCTGCTCACAAAAATCGTCTTGAAAGGTGATGACTATCTTTTGAATGTGATATGTTGCTTTAGGTGCTTATGTTGTCAGTTTTGAACAACAGGAAGATGAAATAAATTAAACCTGGAAACTTCATCCTTGTGTTGATGCTTAGCTTTCACAAGAGCAGAGCTTCCTTTCCTTATGGAGTCAGCGGATTGGTTTAATCAATAAGTTATCTTGTTGTTGTTGATTTTTTTTTTTGCACTAGCCAAAGTCAAGGTTGTAACCTTGTCAAAGGTTTTTATTGAAGCTCTCTGATATTTGTGTTGACAGCGGCCGACCCCTCCTCTCGCTCCAGCCTTGGAGGAAGACGAGGCAGAAAAAACCTGTGGCCCCACTGGATTCTGGGAAGCTTTTACTCCTTGCAACGGCTGCCACAACCTTGGCTTTTCCGGCCTGTCACAGGTACACACATGCAGATTAAATTATTCTCAATTATTGTGAGAACTGATATTTTATTGCTACTTTATGTTGCCATTGACTCCAGATGTGCAGAAAATGGACCCTCTCAAACATACAGAATGATTCTGACGATTCTCCCATTTTCGTTTACTGTAGCCTTGCTGCACATTCACACACTCCGTCACACAACTGAACTGCAGTGAAATTACAGGCTAGTGATGTAGCTATTGTTCAGAGCGAATATTTTCACTGGTTACCTTGGGAACGCAGTGGATAAGCCATCACAAGAGAGACTTCCTCTCCTGGCAGTCTTTTTTTTTTTTTTTACTGTGTTCAGTTTTTGTCTTTCTTATTATGAAATAAAAACTTTAGAAAAATCAAGCCAACCCCTTCTGTGAGCAGAATCAGGTTCGTGAATTTGAATGAATAAGACTTAAATATCAGAAACTCATTAATGTTATCATCCCTCTGGAGAAAATGTGAATGTTGCATCAGCAAACAAAATATACAACAGAGAATGAGGACTTTTTAGGGTTTTACAACTACTTTTTATGAAAGATTCATTCAGTCTCCTATCTCTGCTGCGAGTCTCCTTCCTCTTCATTCAACCTTTCATCAGCGTGCTGTGGGTCTAATTGTGGTTAAATGTCTGTGGATGAGCGTTTAGTGGCAGAATGCATGCTGGCTCAAACTGCAGGACACCTGACATTTACAACACAACGACCCTCTGTCTTATACACTGGCAGCCTGTCTGAGTGACTGGCTCAGTGCCTAGAGGTTTGCACCTGGACGTGTGTGTGTTTGTGTGTACTAATATGCTAAAAAGCCTTCTTAGTTAAAATGTTTGGGTTAGCATGAGAGGATGTGGGCACAGACAGCATATTTAGTGTTGTCATCCTTCTGTGTTCAGATGTGATGCGGTGTCATTTTGAGTGTGTGTGGGCAGGTGTGTGTTATAGAAAAGCAAAATGAAAGAGGAGTGTAGGAGAGAGGAAAGATTGAGTTATTTCATAATTAAGTTTGTGCTAATTTGCTCAGTGTAATTATATTCAGAGTTGCCAAAGAAAGTTTATTTATTCTGTCTGTGGCTAAATACTCGAATAAACAAAATGCAGTCATTTCCTTCTCAATAGATTTTTCATTTTTATTTTTAATTACCTATTTTTTTTCTGAAAATGTTCCAAATATCCACCAGTTTTATTATTATTATTATATATATATTTTGGGGTGTGATCATATTAATGACTTATAGATGCAACAATTTTAAGGTAAAACTGTAATTGATCTGATTATACAAATACCGTAATTATCGGACTATAGACTGCACCCGAACATAAGCTGCACCCACTAAATAATTTTTTTTATACATTTTGTACATATATAAGCTGTGCTTGGGTATAAGCTGTGAGTGTCCATGTTGAAACATGAGATATTTACACCAAAATTTAAAAAAACCTTTTAATTAAATACATACCGGTAACATACCATATTTTCCGCCGTACATGTCGTACCACCCTATAAGTCGCATCAGTCCAAATATGTCTAAAAAAAGTGGAAAAATCCATAAATATGTTGCTTCACCGTATGTGTGTTCTAGAATTGCGCCGCTCAAGGTGGCTGCATGTTGGAGCAGCTCTGTTACTTTCATTCTGAGATTTTGCTTTTGGAAACTTTAATTTCTCTTTTTCTGGATGTAAATCACATGTTTTGGATGATTGTTTCCTCTGGTATCAGATGCTGTGCAGCTAGAAGGATTTTTACTGAAACTTTTTTAGTTTTGGACATTTGTTATGATGCGTAACCATGGCAACAAGACAGTTTTCTATAACCAACAGCAGCTGATTAACATCTCAAAGCTCAAATAATATCTCAACTACAGCCTCAAATCTCAAATGAGTTGAAAGGGAGGCTCCGCGGACGCATTCTCATCTACCTGCTGACTGTGCTCGAGTGCCTGACCACTGAGATCCTGGAACTAGCAGGAAACACGGCTCATGACAGCAGAAGGACAGGATCATCCCTCGACACCTACAGATGGTTGTCCGCAGCGACGAGGAACTCGGCAGACTGCTGGGAGAAGTGGCCATCGCTCTGGGAGGAGTTCTGCCCAGCATTCGGGCGGTCCTACAGTCCGGGGGAACAGAGAGGCCAGCCGAGTCTGGGTGGACGGATTGGACGCATCTGCGGCCAGTTTCTTCGGATCTGCTGTGGGATGGACCTTTACAAGAGATCCTTCCTGCCCACAGCCATCAGCATTGATAACATCTCTTATTGAAATGAGGATAACGAGTTACAACAACAAATAATTTCCTTTTGGGATTAATAAAGTATTTTTGAATTGAATTGAATATGTCGCATCTATTACGCATCACCGCTGACAACCCGGAAATGTGGGCTGGTGTTGTCAAAAATTGATTGGTTGCCAAATGGCAGCCGTGGGAGCGTGCACAGAAGGACTTTAATAAGAATTTAGCAAGATTAACACTTAAAAACAATTATTTGTTTGCTCAAAAATTATAGTAAAAGTGTGTCTAACATTTGCTTAATAAATGCACTTTAATGGTCAAATTAACAGCATTTCGCTGGGGTGGTGCATCTGATGTAACTTGTTCCAAACAGCAAGCAGAACGAAGGTGGGGGGTACTGTGGCAAGCCGATTGTATCATTAATAGTTGAAGATTCTCAGTCATCCAGGACATGGTAAATTCAAAAAAGTTCAAAACAAAAACAATAAAATATAAAGTATAATAAATAAAGTCCAGTTGTTTTTGTCTTTAACTCTAAATTGTCCCTAGGTGTGAGTGAGAGAGTGAATGGTTGTTTGTCTCGTTTGTCTCTATGTGGCCCTGTGATGGACTTGCGACCCGTCATGGGTGTACCCCGCCCCTCGCACAATGATTGCCGGACATGGACACCGGCGACCCCCATGAACCAAAATGGAAGAAGCGGGTAAAAGATAATGGATGGATGGATGTTTTTGCCTTGAACTTTTTTGAATTTGTCATTATAGCCACATTTACCTATTACATGATACAACGGCATGCCTTACTACTACGACTACTACTACTCTGCTTCCATCTAGTGGCTGAAAATGGTACTGTTCAATTTTTTTTTTCAGTCAGAATGAATGAAAACCGTCATAGCTCGGCCAAAAATTGGTTTATAAATATAGGAAAAATCCATAAATACGTTGCTTTGGCCTATAAGTCTCAAGGCATGCAAATTATGCAAAAAACTGTGACTTATAGACTGAAAAATACGGTACACAAATACGTACAGTTTTGTTTTTCCTAAGCAATGTCTTTAACATGGTTGTTTGAGAAGTAAAATAAAATACAGTAGCCTATTAGGAAACTCCCTGATCGCTTCCTTCATTCCTCCTGTGCACTAAAACCACTGAAGTCGTCTTCAGTGTCAGAATTGATCAGCCTCAGAAAAACTTGATCACACACGTCCTCAGTCTCTTTCGTTGTCACTCTCAACGTCATTTTCGTCTCAAGGCAAATTCGTGATTTGATTTGCCATTCACACTCATTTCGAGTGGCTGCAAACGATGCAACAAATACAAGATGCAACAAATAAGTGTCTTAATGTTATGCTGTCCTGACTTTAAAGCTCTGAAGAGTTTATATACATGTCTTGTTAAATGAGTGGTGATATCTGTTGGACTTGGTGTTATCTGCAGAAGCACTGACCTGGAATGTCAGCATTAGGGAAGAAAATCACATTGGTGCATAAAGTGGATCTGCAACAATTTGTTGTGAGCCACTATAAGTGTAAGATGTTGATTAAAACAGTGTACAGATGTGCAACAGGTGCTGAGATGTCATTATACTGCTGCACAGCTGGTTTCAGAGGTACAGCACAAACAGTATGTGAGCTTTACTAACCATCTCAGGGTTGAGCTAACTTCTAAAGCAACATGAAACCCCAGCAGAGGCAGCTAATAAAGATCAGCTGAGTGGGTTTGAGCAGTTTAAATGTATACGAGTTCACAAATGGGATTTTTCATGCTCCATTCACTCTGTAGATTTCCTGAACTTGAGTTTGGATTATTAGATAAACTGCGACGGACTGCGTCCTCTTAAAGCTTCTGAGTGTAAAATGGCACTTCGGTTTGTTTGTGTGCACGTGTAGTACATAAAGGCACGTAGGTTTGCACAAAAATCCTTTTTAATTGAAAGTTTTCATCACTGGCTCCCCTCCCCCCGTCGTCATCATTATTAAACTAAAGTGGACTTTTGTCAAACAGTGTGTGGAGGCTTCCTCTGATGTAAGCTTTACAAAGTCCAAACCTGAGACAGCCTTGAAAGGAAAAAGAAGATGTCGATAAAGCAAATAAAACAAAATTAAGCTAGAATGAGGTTGGCTGGGTTGCCAGGCAACACGAAAATGCATGTGTTATTAAACGTGGGATGTCCACCATCATCAGACCACAACCACAATTTGCACAGGTGCGTCAGAGTGCTGCGCACGTCAGTGTTTCCTGTCTCACAGCTTCGTTTCATTCCTTACTTCCTTTTCCGTTCTCTTTCTTTTTTCACTTAAAACAACTTCCTCACACTTCCTTCTCTGCGGCCGTGCATATTCATATTAAGTCGATTACTGAAAAAAGTTTACAGCCCAGACTGTTTGAAGTTGTACATGTGGTTTGAACAGGTCAGTGTGTTACAAAGACTGGAAGGTTTGCAGATGTTGGGGTTTACTAAACACAGATGTTTCTGAGGGAGCAGAGAATATGTGAATAACCAGGTTTGTTTCTTTGCTTTGGATTACAACTAGCCACACACACAAAAACTGTTGAGGGTGGATTATAATACAGTAATCCCTCGCTACGTCGCGGTTTGTTTTTGCAGACTCTCTCTATCGCAGTTTTTCAAAATAAAATTGAACATGACACACAATTGGCTGATTGATGGATGAGCCGCATGATCTGAATGGGATTTTTATTTAAAATTAGTTATTTAGCACCTCCTGCACCTCTGTGCGGCCCACACTGTAGG